CCCAGCACCACCAGGTCCAGCATCTGCGCCTTCGTGTGCTGCGATGGGCGCGCGGGGCGCCGCGCGGGGCCCGGCCGCCGTCCCGGCCGAGATCGGCGGGGCGCCGCGCAAGCAGGCGGTCGCGGAGCTGCGCGAGGCCCCCCGCCAGGTGTGCGGCCGGCTGCACCGAGCGTGCCTGCGGTGGCTGAGGCCGGAGCGGCACACGAAGGCGCAGATGCTGGACCTGGTGGTGCTGGCGCAGTTCCTGGCCGCGCTGCCCGCCGAGATGCAGAGCTGGGTGCGCGGCTGCGGGCCGGAGAGCAGCTCCCAGGCGGTGGCCCTGGCCGAGGGCTTCCTGCTGAGCCAGGCGGACGAGGAGAAGCAGGGCACGGCACAGGTGAGTGCAGCCCCAGCAGCTGGAAACGGGGAGGGGGGGGATTGTCCCCGAATTCCTGGTGCCTCCCGGCGGATCGCTGTGGGGCCGAGAGGGAAGCCCAGGCCCAGAGCCATTCCAGCCCCTCTGATGGGGAAGGGAGACTGCAGGTCTTGTGAGGGGGCAAATCCCTCTGTTGTCTCATTTCTAGCCCCCCCCCCCGCAACCTTTTTGTTCTTGGCTACTGTTTCCCGTGCAAGCCTCCTTTCTGGAGGCAGCAGCTGAATCCTTCGACTCAGGGAAGCATCTCTCTGTAACCTGCCAGGTGCTGCCGCTTGGGAAGATCTCACAGGAGCAGCGAATTCCCGACATGTCCCCAGGTAAGGGCGAATTCCTTCAATCTGAGCAGTTCCCTGGGAACATTCCAACCACTTTTTGCCATGCGTATCTGGACTCTGTTAACTGTCTTTCTGTGCCATCTGCCCCGTATGCGAAGAAAGTGCTTTTGGTTTGGTAACACCCTCTTCTCCATTGCAGGGAATGAAATGATATCAACCAGTCCCTCTAAACCAGCTTCTCTGTATGGTGGAGCCGAATCCGTCTCTGTGCAGCCAACTCAGGTAGGGAGGGATCTTCAGAGAAGCTGCGCTGGTGGAGGAGGGCCCCGTCTTGCTTCTGGGGCCTTCAGCACTGCCACCTCCTTAGCTCAGGTGCTTCCAGCCAAAGCTGGTTTCTCCTATCCCACTTACATTTGTATAAAGGATATTGGATGTCCATCTTTTTTTTTTTTTTAAGCACTGCAGATCCATCCCTGTCTTTGTGTTCTTGACCATAAAAGGTGCAGCTAAACTGCGTCATTTTCTGCTGGCAATGCCGCCCCTCTGTCCCTGTCCATGAGGGGCTTGCAGGTTCTGGGGTGCCCCTGAGGGAAGGGGAGCCCTTTTGGGAGCTGCACCCTCTGTGTGGTGCCCACCCTCATCAGTGGCAGTGGGGTCCACCAAGGCAGCAGCTCTCCCTCGCTCTTTCAAGCCCAAACTGGCTTCCTGGAGGTTGCCTGTTCACAGCTGCACCTGAGTGCTGAGCAGAAAGAAGGCAGCCCACGGTGAGTGGGCTGCGAAAGGAGAACCTAGTCAGCATCTCGGTGTAGGACCTCCCTCCCCACACGGAGCCCTCCAGGCTTGGCTCGGCTTCTCCCCATGCCCCATCGCTGGCACAGACATGGGCCAGGCACCGCACACCAAAGTGCCAGCAAACTGTGTTTTGACTGTGGCAGGACAGAACACACCCACCCCACTGCAGCTGTCTCTTCCCAGATTCACAAGTACAGGGAACCCGCCCGCACAGCCCTCCAGGGCCTGGCTCTGAACGGGGATGCTTCTTCTTCCTCTTCCAGGGCCCCGTCTCCTTCGAGGAGGTGGCAGTGTACTTTACCAATGAGGAGTGGGCCCTGCTCTGTGCTGCCCAGAAGTCGCTGCACCGGGAAGTCATGCTGGAGAACTCCAGGACCGTGGCCTCACTGGGTGAGGGTGCAGAAGCTCTTCTGCATTGTAGAAGCTCTGGCTACATTCCATGCAGTTATGGGATTTCTCTGCTCTGTGCATCTTTTGAAGGGACGCAAGGTTTGCATGCTGCCTAAATTGGGCCCTGTGAGAATCACATTTCGAGTCTGGGGTATGTGATGAAAAGCAACTAGCATGCTGAGGAGAAGCGGATCCCCAGTGCCAGCCTCTGCTGGCATGGTTTGAACATTCATTTATATCTTTCTATCCTGGCTTCTTTTCTTCCAAAGCAGCTTCTATAATTTTCCTGCTCTCAATTTTATCCCACAACTACCCTGTGAGGTAGGTTGTGCTGAGAGTCTGTGACTGGTCCAGAGTCACCCAGTTGGCTCCAGGGCCAAGCGGGGAATAGAACCTGGATCTCCTGGCGTATGCTCTTAACCACTACACCACCCTGGCTCTCAGTATGTGATCTTGGTGACTCTGTTAAGGGGGTGTGGAAGTAAAAGTCACCTAGGAAGGCCTCGGAAGTTACAGGCAGCCTATAAATGCATGTATAAATAAAAACATTCTTCACTCTTTGGGTTTTTAAGGTTGGTTTTAATATTCAGCTATGCTTTTATTTGCTTGTGTTTTGTAAGCCACTTTGCTTGGCCTCAGAAAGATGGTACCCGAAATGCAATGCAGTGTATTCTTACTTTGCAGTTCTGACTTTGTATAGCGCTGTGGCAGGGCTGTGATAAACCCCCCAAGGACCTATGGCTTTAGGCACTATAGCAATAAAATAATAACAATAATCACTGATTGGAAGAGGGTTTTTTTTTTTAAACTCCATGTGCCCTTACTGAATTCCTCCCCTTTTTCCCAGCAGGTGATGGGTGGAAGCACCACAGTGGTGATGGACCATGTGAGGCATTAGCAGAATGGGACAAGTTGCAAGGGATGGAGGAACTCTTCCAAAACCAAGAGGGACCAAAGGAGCAGGAGGGAAACCAGGCGGAAGATGCAAGGGATCAGTTTCACCCAAGGGATAACTTCCACAGAATTCAGTTTCAGGAAAAGCCACAAGAAAAGCAAAGGAATGTCTGCCCAGTAGGTGAGGAAATCTTCAGCCATAAATCAGACCTTAGTGTGCATAGGAGAATCCAGACGAGTCAGAAGCAGCACAAATGTTTGGAGTGTGGGCGGAGCTTCAGTCAGGGCTCCAGTCTTGCTTCGCATCAGAGCATCCACACGGGAGAGAGACCCTATAAATGCTTGGAGTGTGGAAAGAGCTTCAGGCAGCTGGCATACCTCACCTCACATCAAAGAATCCACACTGGGGAGAAACCCTATAAGTGCTCAGAGTGTGGAAAGAGCTTCAACAGGAGCACAAACCTCACTTGCCATCTAAGAAAACACACAGGGGAGAAACCTTATAACTGCTCGATCTGTAACAGGAGCTTTTGTGACAAATCTGGCTTTAATATCCATCAGCTAATTCATTCCAGGGATAAGCCCCATAAGTGTCTGGTGTGTGGCAAGAGTTTCATTCGCCGTTCACAGCTTACTTCCCATGAAGGAATCCACACCGGGGAGAAACCGTACAAATGCCTGGTCTGCGGAAAGAGCTTTCATCGGAGCTCCAACCTTACGTCTCATCAAAGAATCCACGCGGCTGAGAAACGTTACAAATGCTCAGAATGTAGCAAGAGCTTCTATGATAAATCGCGCCTTCTTATACACCAAAGAATCCACACAGGAGAGAAACCGTATCGGTGTCTTGAGTGTGGAAAGAACTTTAGGCAGCATGCAAACCTTGCTTCTCATCAAAGAATGCACAGGGGAGAGAGATCCTATAACTGCATGGAATGCAGCAAGAGTTTCTATGATAAACACCACCTTCTCATACACCAAAGAATCCACACAGGGGAGAAACCCTATCAGTGTTCAGATTGTGGAAAGAGCTTCAGCCAGAGCTCAAGCCTGACTTCACACCAAAGAGTCCACACAGAAGAAAAGCCACATCAGTGTATGGAGTGTGGGAAGTGCTTCAGTCAGAGGAGGAATCTCCTGAGACATCAAAAAATTCATTCAAGAGATAAGACTTATCCATGCTTGGAATGTGGAAAGAGCTTTTATGATGACTGTAAGCTAAAGAGACACCAGGGGAGTCACTGTGCAGAGGGAAAACCCATGTCTTGGAGCGTAGAAATGGCTTCAGATGGTGTGCCGGTCTTATGCCCCCTCCAAGAATTCAAACAGGAGGAGTGCTATCGCCTTTCTGAGACTGACGTTCAAAGCTCTTGTGCAATCAGGCCTTATGAACACTAGGGAACATTGGTGGAAAGGCTGTGGTAATGCATAGGAAGCCCACATCTTAACGTAAGGCGAACCAAATGCTAACGGCCCCTGATGGCAGCTGCCTTGTCACCAGAGCAAGGACCCAAATTTCTTGGTTTGGGAGGGGGAATCTCTGACACCCTGTAATGTCTGTTTTGTGCCTTTAATGAATCCATTGTTACTTGCTGAAAGTTACCAGTCAGCCATCCGGCAGAATTTTGCTTTTGTTTCCCTTGTGCCTTAAAATTCTTTGTCTGCATTTCTATTTCCCTACCAAGATAAATAGACTTGGTGAAGACCACTTTTGCTCAGAGGAGGATTTTGTGTGCGCCACTTTTCCAAGTGATGCTGCATTATTAAACAAGCTTAGCTGATGACAGGGATGCTGTCTCCTTGTGGTTAGGCATGTGGAAGGTAGATCCTAATTTGCTCCGTTGGAGGCGTCCTGCCTTCCTCTACAGGGGAAAACAGGTCTCTTCCCACCTCTGTGTGACACCCCCTTACATACCTGTATGTCGCCAACAGATCCCCTCTGAGTCTCCTCTTCTAAAGGCTGAAGAGACCCAGTTCCCTCAGTCTCGCCTCATACCCCATCCCCTGCAAGCCGGCCACCAACCTTGTGGTCCTATGTTGCACTGCCTCTAACCTGGCTATATCCTTCCTGTAATGAAGGGCCCAGAACTGAGCACAATACTCCAGTTGCGGGCACACCAGAGTTGCATAGAGTGATAGTAATGCCTTTCCCAATCTATGCACTTCTGGCTATGCAACCAAGGGTGGCGTTCACCCTCTTGACCACCGCATCACACGACTGACTCATGTTCAGCCTGCAGACGGCTGCCACCCCAAGGTCCCTTTCACAAGTGCTGCTCTCCAGCCACTTGTCCCGTAACTTGTACTTATGACACCCATTCCTGTGTCCCAAGTTCAAGACCTGGCACTTATCCACATTGAGCGCCATCCTGTTGCCAAACAGCGTGGCAGAAGAGCCATCTGTGGCAGCCGTGACCCCAACCCTGGCCTGAGCAGCCACCAGTGCGCTTCACCTCTTTCTAGTTTCGAGGGCCCTGGACCTTGAGCAGCCACCAGTGGCTGGGACAGCCACAGCAGCAGATGCACCCCTGCCTTGCTCCACCTGGCCCAGTCTCCCCCTGGCTGCTCCCGCACAGCTGGAGGGTGTCCCCAAGGGAGCCAAGGACCTCGGAAGAAGGCCAGGGTAGTGAGTGCAGCCGCACAGCCACAGGGTCCTGGCTGCGGACTGCTGCCCTCCCTTAGAGGGGGAAGAGCCGGAACCCTCGGGGGCAGCGTCTGGGGTTCCCCAAGAGCAGGGCTCAGAGGCAGAGGGGATGCACCCCATAGAAAAGAAGAGGAGGAGTGCACCGCTTCAGCTCCAGAAGAAATCCAAACACTCAGAAAGGGGAGGTTTCTATGAGACACAACAGTGGCTTAATTAGCCTACTGAGCTAAGTTCCAACTGGACATGAATTAGTGCAGCCAGAGCCGCTTGGGTTGCAAACTACAGTGGTACCTTGGCTCACGAACTTAATCCGTTCCATGGCTCTGGTCGCAACCCCAATTAGTCACGAGCCAAGTCAAATTTCCCCATAAGGTTTAATGTAAATGAGGTTAATCTGCTCTGTAAATACTCTTTTTAATCACAAAAATTTGAAACTAACAAAGAACAAAGTACAGTACAGTAGAGAAGACTATCCTAGGTGGTGGGAAGGTTAATGTTTGGAAGGAGAGTCCAAATGATACTCGTGTGATATCGATCTTGTTTGTGGCAGGAGAAGATGAGCATGATGGTGATCGCGCTTGTGTTGGGAAGACAGGCATGATCGTGATTGTGTTCGTGCGACAACATGTCTGCAATCATGCTCTCACCCAATGCAGAGATCGCGAACTGATGCAAATGTTTTGAAATTTTTGTTCGCGACTCGATTTGGTCATGAACTGAGGCATTTGTGAGCTGAGGTACCACTGTACAAGCCTCGTTACCTGTGTTCTCGAACTTGGTTGAAGCCTGCGGGAAGTGAGACTCCCGGCCTGTTTACCGGACGGTCTTTTCAACTCTTGCCTGACTTGGAGCTTTGGACATGCGCTAAGCACACGGCCTTGACCCCCGGACTGACCTGACAGTTCTCAAGAAGGAGACTCAGAGAATGGGCTGTGTGTGTCCAGGAGCCCTGCCAGCTGCAGCTTCATGTCCGGAGGGGACAAGATGACAGAAGAAGCCCCCCACCTGCAGGTCTCCCTCTCCTCCCTGCCTCTCCACGGCTGTCCCAGCACAGGGCCGTTGATGTGACGCACAATCCACGTTTGTGCTCAGACTCATCTTGACTCAGAAGGAAACGTTCAGCTCAGGCATCTTGGGGAGGGGGAGGAGAAAGGGGGGCAAAATAAAAGGGAGCTTTCCCTAAAGGGGGCACCAGCAGCTGCACCCACAGGAAAGACATTGCAAAATGGAGAGACACCCCTTCCTCTCCAAATGATACCCCGAAAGTTCAAGATGAATGACACCAGTCTAGAAGCGGATCCTTGGGTCTCCAAAACCAATAAACTCGTTGGATTTCAGTTTAGCCACAGCATCATCTTGGATTTTTACTCTGAAAGAATGCCAGGAAATATTTCAATTATAAAATGCAGGCAAGATGCGAGCTAAACTTTTCAAGGCTGCTCCTGCCTCCTCCCATGGACAGCTGGGCCGGGGCTCTGCCCAAAGGCTCTCTGAAGTTGATACAAGTCAGTAAGACTGGCCTGAGGGTTCAAATGCACCCAGAAGGAAAGAGCCTGGCCCACAAGGCAGTGCAGCCTACTGGTGAGATCTGGCCCACAGCTGAATTCCCTCCTCAGAGCTTCCAGACCCCAGCAGCAACCTTTAGTTTGTATTGAAAATAACCTCGGAAAAGGGCATTCCATTCCAGTTATTATTTTATTCTTGGCATAACAGTGTTACTGTTCTCATTTTATATTTAAATGCCATCTTAAGAGAGAGGCTGCTGGGGACGGAGACCCAGCGTGCTCCATGCTCCCAGAACTGCAGCCTCTCTCCAACCAAGGAATCATTCACTTGTGATGGTACTGAACGAATTCTCAGCATTAAAGTAATTAATTGGCAAAAGCGCAGTTAATTAGCAGTCCATCAGCTCAGAATGCGTCAGTGTACAGTCTGAAAGATGCTTGCGAAGCACCAAGCAACAGACACAGCAGCACTGTGCATAATGGGGGTGGCCTACCCGGGAGCGACTCTCACAGCTGAGTGGGGCAGTGGGGTGGGGGGGCCTCTGTGTGGTCCTGCCAGTGGGGAGGGGGTTTTGGCCTTGTTTCAGCTCATGATCAGCAATTCAGGAAGGAAAGGAAGAATAAGCATGTTCTCAGCACCTGGCAGGATGAGTCCCTAACCCAGCTGCAATAATGCAGGCAAATGGAAAGAAGGGAAAGCCGGCAGTTCTTCACCGGTTCAGCTATGATTCCTTTTGGCTTTACAATTGGTTTTCTGTCTCTTCAGCTTTGTATCTCCAAAGGAAAGACGTGAAAGTATGAGCTTCATTAGGAAGTGCAGAAAATGGTTGTTTTACACTGGCAGTCACTTGGATTGCAAGGCGATCAAACCGGACAGTCCTAGAGGAGAACAACTCTGACTGCTCTTTAGAAGGCCAGATACTGAAGATCAAACTCAAATATTTTGGCCACCTAATGAGAAGAAAGGACTCCCTGAAGAAGAGCCTGATGCTGGGAACAATTGAGGGCAGAAGGAGAAGGGGACGGCAGAGGAGGAGGTGGCTAAATTGAGTCACTGAAACAGTTGGCTTGAGCTTAAGTGGACTCTGGGGATGGTTGAGGACAGGAAGGCCTGGAGGAGTGTGGTCCATGGGGTCACGATGGGTCGGACGCAACTTCGCGACTAGCAACAACAACAACCCAGAGGGTAAGCCAAGGAGTGCTGCAAGGGAAGAGAGAGAGAATTTTAATTTTAAGAAACTGCATTAATAAATTGGAAGATCTGTCTTTGGAAGCCATGCAGGAAGGAAGAGGGTCCAAGAGGCTGATTTGCTCTGGGGACTTTTGTATTCAGCCCCCTCACTTTCCCATGCACAAGCTGAAGCGTGATGAGAAGCTGGCAGGCTTTGCTGCAGAGGCGGGAAGGCCTGCTCCTGCCCCTTCGGACGTGGCCTTCCAGCGGTGAGTTCCAGGCATTGTCAGCTCCTTTGGACAGGCATCTTTGGAAAGGCAGGACTAGGAATTGGGGAGGAGGTGGGGAGAGACTGTACCTGCAGGCTGCTGCATGGGAGTCGCTAGTGAGAGAGAGAGAGAGAGAGATGAGGCCCTGCAGGGAGGGGCTATTGCCTGATGGTCAAAGCTACCCAGACGTCCCCCTCCCTGACTCCAAACTGCCACTCAGCACATGAAACCCTCCTGTGGCTTTTCACAGCCAAATTCCATCATTTTTGCATGATACAAAGCACCTCCCTAACAGCCGAATGGAGCCTTCCACCTGTTTTAAGGGTGAATTGTCCAACTGAACCCCTCTGGTGGAATCCCAGCAGCACCCCTGGGAGGGCTGGAAATGCATCTCCCTGCCAGTCATTGCCCCCTTACCTTTCTTGCTCCTCAGGTAGAGGGAGAGCCCCATGGCCACAAAGACCACACCCAGCAGGGCCCCCATGACCCCCGTCCACACTTTGCTCCTGACAGACACGGAGGTCCATGGCTCTGAAGAGAGAGGAGAGGAGACTCATGTGAGAGCTGGATCAGGGCCAGGCTTGGCCTCTCAACCCCAGGATTTGGTGGGGGGGGGGGCATTCCATGTGCTACAAGTGGGGAGGGAGACCTTCCAGCCCCACAGCTGATGTTTCAGGGATCGGCCCTGTCTGTGAGGTCCACATGGCTGAGTTTATGCTTCCATCCCTCCCAGGCAGGGCAGTCTCAGACTGGAATATCCTGCGGAGGCAAGTGTGGGGTTGGACGCAGCTCCAGATGGAACAAAAAGGGGGGAAGTGGAGCTGCCAACATCTATTCCTGGGGGGAGACCTGCATCCACCGATCCCTGCTACTCCCTCCTAAGAGGCCACCCTTCCCCCTGCTCACGTTAGGCCCCTCCTTTCCTTCCCCCAAATGCACCCACAAACTCACCCATTTCCCAGGAGTGCCCCCACAGAGGGAAGGAGGGGGAGGGCCCTACCCCACTGCACGGTGATGGGCGTCTGCAGGCTGGCGTGCTCCACCTGGCAGGTGTAGACGTCTCCGCGCTGGGGGGTGTCCTCCAGCATCACCTGGGTCTGTGCAGGTCCTCCCCATAGAAGACCCCCTCCGTCACCCATTCTTCAGCCAGCGGACCTCGATCTCCCAGGGGTAGAAACTGGCCGCGGTGCAGAGC